ACCCCCATCTCTCTCTCAAAAAAAAAAATTTTTTTAATTAGCCAGGTATGGTGGCCTATGCCTGTAAGTCCCAGCTATTTGGGAGGCTGAGACAAGAGGATCGCCAGAGCTCCAGAGTTCGTAGGTGCCGTGAGCTATGATCACACCACTGCACTCAGTGACAGAGTGAGACTTTGTCTCTTAAATGAATATATAAATAAAGAGATGGGTGATGTTATGGGAGAATCTCAAGATGGTCCCCTGAGACCTGACACACATGGTGCCACCATGAAAAGACTTCCTTCTAGGGAGAACAAATGAGGATGAATGGAATAGGACTATTGTCCCTAAGAGAGGCATCCCCTGCGTCCCTGCCACAGCAAGGCTGCATTTCTGTCCTGAGAGGTGAGTCGGGGAGCCCCTGCCATCCCTGCCGATGCCTCACTGCTCCAGACCCACTTGCCCTTTCCATCCAGACATCTGTCAAAGAGTCAAGCTTCCTGCTGTGCTCAGCCAGACCTGTCTGAAGCAACTTCGATTTTTCTACAGATGGAGGAGCCCACCATGGAGGGTTAATTAACATCAGTCTGGAGATTTCATTTCTAGTTGGTAGTTTATGCACCACTGGTCCATAGAGTTTGTTGGCAGCTTAGGGAAACAAATCCTAAGGCTTATCACAGACACACTGTAACTCAAGACAATCAATACAACATCCTTTAATGAACGTGTCTTACAAGTTGTGAAGTCATTGTGAGCCTCATGGAAAAGGTTATGTTCCTGCGGGGTTAAAGAAAATCCTTGTAGCTAAAACTCTGAATATCTCAGAGAACCTTTGCTCCTTCTCTGTAAACATTAAAGAGAAGAGCTGGAATGATGATGGAACACAGCAGATGAGTAGATATAAACTTTAAGTGAGACCTTTGCCCCAGTTAAGTTTCCATGGTGAGCCTGTGGTCACTGGAGTGTGAGATTTCTCCAGCCTTCTCTTCCCTATCATTCTCCCAAGAATCATTTCAGCAGAACATTTAAAACTGTAATTTAAAATTCTCTGAGATCAATCAAAATTTAAAGACAATATCTGATATGCTTGTGCCTCTATAAATAAGTTAAAAATCCATCTATTGGCTGGGCATGGTGACTCATGCCTATAATTCCAGCACTTTGGGAGACCGAGGTGAGAGATTACCTGAGCCCATGTGTTCGAGACCAGACTGGGCAACTTGGCGAGACGTCATCTCTACAATAAATCAAAAAATTAGCTGGGCATGGTGGCGCATGCCTGTAGTTCCAGCTACTTGGAAGGCTGAGGCAGAAGGATCACCTGAGCCCAGCAGGTCAAGGCTGCAGTGGCCGTGAGTGTGCCACTACATTCCAGCCTGGGAAACAGAGTGAGATTCCAACTCAAAAAAAAATTTTTATTTATGTCTCTCCTAAATAAATATGATTGAATATCACAAGAACCCTGCCAATTCTTCCCTTAATGAAGATCATAAGCGATCAGAACATTCACATACACATGTGCATGTATACATGCACTCACACTCACTCACACACACACACACACACACACACACACACACTTTGCTAAAACAGTTGTAGCCCTTTTCCCTGGCCAGGGTTCCACCCCACAGCCAAGCAAGCCTGGGGGACAGAATTCTTCAGATGATTGAAGATCTCCTTCAGCAACAATGTCTAGCTTACATGGGATGTAAAACCGTTGCCTGGGTCAGGCACAGTGACCCAATCCTGTAGTCCCAACTACTTGGGAGGTTGAGGTGGGAGGATTCTTTGAGCCCAGGAGTTCAAGGCTGCAGTGAGCTATGATTGTACCACTGCACTCCAGCCTGGACAATAGAGAGAGATCATGTCTCTTAAACCAACCAGTTATCTGTTCTCTTCCTTTCCCATGAGAAGAATCAAAGTTAATACTGGCCCAGGAAGCAGGTGGCACCTAACCAATGGAAATTACCATCCTCAGTGTTTCAGAAATAGGGTGACTGAGATGTACACTACTGCAAGGCAAAACTCAACTCAAAAGTAGTGATGCCACAAAGTTCATTATGATCACGTGTTTAAAACCACTAAATGTAAAGACAACTGAGCAAACTTTGTGAACGTTAGACACTATTAAATAATAAGTTTGTTGTTTTAAAAAGTTAAGAACATAAAAGAGTTAGGTTGAACTTTCAAAAATTTTTTATTATATTAAAAAGTTTTTAATGTAAAATGTTTATTGAAATACTACACAATAAAATTGCAAATTATAGTGTACAGTTAAATTTTCATCATGTGAACATGCACTGATCAAGAAACAGAAGTCACTGGCACCCAAAAGTTCCTTTAAGTCCCCCTCTAGTAACTGCCCTCCCAAGGGCAACCACTATCCTGACCTCTAACACTACAGATTAGTTTTGCCTTTGAACCTTACGTAAATAGCATCACATAGCGTTTACTCTTTTATGTTTGCCTTGAACCCATCAGCAAGTTTATAAAATATATCCATGGGTTGCTGCACATAGCTGTAGACTGTTCAATCATGGATGCTTAGCATTCCATTGGGTGAATATGACACAGTTTATCCAGTCTCCTGTAGATGGGCATTTGTTTCCAATGTTGAACGGTGCTGCTGCAAACATTCTTAAGGAACATATGTATGCATTTCTGTGAGGCTATATCTAGGACTGCAATTACCAGGTCTCCATTATATAGGTACATGTTTTTTCCTTGTATAGCTACATGCATCACATGCATGTATTACAAATGTATGTTTCAACATGTTTATATTCACAAATTGAAAGATGCGCCCTTTTGCAGTTGCCCTATTTTTATCTGCAAGCTTCCTATCCTTCCTCATTACTCTACAGTGTAGAACAAGGGCTGTGCTGAAGGATGCAAGTGAATTAGACTGCGCCTTTCTACTCAAGCAATGCTGCACTGAAATGGGTCTCGGATTAGACAAATGTCTCCTTCACTGGAAAGAGACACATGACCACACCTACAAAAAAGTTTGACATGTCTTCCAAGGCCTCTTCTCCATAGCCAGCCTTTGGGTAAGGAATCAAGGTATCCATGACTGCCGGAATGTTTGAAAAATGACAGTGCCACAAAATATACCTTCTCAGCTTAGGGAGGACTTAGTCCCTTGTTAAAGAATAACCCACAAACCAAATAGATCGTGTAAATCTTGTAGGATTCCAATTTGAATAACTGCTAAAAAGGGGAGGGGAGGGAGGAGAGTGGGGAACACATGGCACACAAAGGGTACCTGGTCCACTACTGGGAGGATGAGGGCCAGTTGGAAGCCCAAATTCCACATGCGAGCAACCTACTTATGTCATTAACCGTCACTTGTATTCCACATTTCTATAATTAAATTAAAATTTTTAAATCTAGACTAATGGGGAAATCTGAATACTCCCTAGATATTAAATGATATGGATATAATGGTAATTGTTTAGAGGTGATAATGTTTTTTGGGTTCTTTTGTTTTTTTTGAAAGCAGGATTTGAGAGGACAGAGAAGCTCCCACAGTGAGAGGGGACCTGAAGGGGCCCAGTTTTTTTGTTTTTATTTTTGAGTTGGAGTCTCACTCTGTCACCCAGACTGGAGTGCAGTGGCACGCTCCCGGCCACCGCAGCCTCGACCTGCTGGGCTTTGGCGATCCTTCCGCCTCAGACTTCCAAGTAGCTGGAATTACAGGCATGCGCTACCATGCCCGGCTGATTTTTTGATTTACTGTAGAGATGAGGTCTCGCCAAGTTGCCCAGGCGGGTCTCAAACCCATGGGCTCAGGCAATCCACTCACCTTGGCCTCCCAAAGTGCGGGATTACAGGCTGAGCCACCGAGCCTGGCTCCCAGTTTTTTTTTTTAAAGGAGAGTTCTTCTTCTTTTTTTTAACCCTCCGTTTCCTTTAGATTTTCTATTTCTTAATTGACATTTTTATTTATTTATTTATTTATATTTTTAAATGAGGAAGCAGGATTTATTGAGGGGACAGACAAGCTCCCAAAGTGGTAGAGGACCTGAAGGGGTTGCCCTAAAGAGAGTTCTTATCTCTTAGAAATAGATTCTGAAATATTTACAAGTGAAATAATATGATGTCTGGGATTTGCTTTAAAACAATAGAGCAGGGAATAGACAAGTTGAGGTGAAAAAAATAAATGGCCATTTGTTGATAATAGGTGAAGCCAGATGAGTACAAGAGGTTCATTATACTATTCTATTTATATTTTTGCCTATGTTGGAAAATTCCCTTTTTTGTTTTTTGAGTTGGAGTCTCACTCTGTCGCCCAGACTGGAGTGCAGTGGCTGCTCCTGGCCACCGCAGCCTCGACCTGCTGGGCTCCGGCGATCCTTCCGCCTCAGCCTTCCAAGTGGCCGGAATTACAGGCATGCGCTACCACGCCCGGCTGATTTTTTTGATTTACTGTAGAGATGAGGTCTCGCAGCCCAGGCGGGTCTCGAACCTGTGGGCTCAGGCATCCACTCACCTCAGCCTCCCAAAGGCGCGGGATTACAGGCTGAGCCACCAAGCCCGGCTGAAAGTTCCCATTTTTAAGAAAAAGGCCATCAGTCAGTATGAATTCACTTATCGGCCATTCCTAACAGCAGGTTTGGGTGACGCGACTCTGTCATTAACAAACTGTATGACTTTGGGCAAATTGCACAATATCTTGGGACCTCAGCTCACTGATGGGTATTGTAAATTGTGGCCTTTACTTAAGATTTCTCTTGGGATGCTAAGAAGCCCAGGGACTGTGGATATGTAGAAGAGCCTAGGGGTACTGAGGAGGGCAAGAACTCAAGGGGACAACGTGAACTTTGACCTCAGCTCTGACACTTATCTTCATGTGACTTGGAACACTGCCATTTCGATGCCTCAGTTTTCTTACCTACAAAGACATTCCTATCTCATTGGTGAGAATGGTAAATAAATTAAAAGATGTGAAGGGTCTGGCACAGTGGTTGACAATAAATCTTAGTTTCCTTCTCAACGTCTCGATTTTGCTCAGGACCGGTGATGTTCACTCTCAGGACCTGCCTGAAGGCGCAACCTTCCACCCGAGTCCAAGGTGCAAAAGAACAAGAAGCTACACGCGGCGCGGATGCGCTCACAGCGCCCTCGCGTGCAGAGCTGGGGAACCCGCACGGGCGTCGGCCCCGCCCCCCCAGCGCCCGCGCCTGCGCAGAGGCGACGCCCCCGAAGTTTCGCTGTTGTGACCGAGT